CTCACTAGTGGGGTACAGCACCCCCTTCTGGCAGCTCCTGCAGAAGTAGGCCCACCCGCACCCCAGCACACCTCTTGCTTCCCGCGCTATCTGAGTGAACAGGCTACCTCCCCTCTGGGCTGTTTCCAGATATGGCCTGTGGCTCCCACAGAGCCGGGAGGTCTCATCAGTCCCTGGTGAGACAGTGGGAGTTCCCCCCTCACTCAGGCATCTCCCTAGGCAGGGCCCTTTTTGTCACAACCCCTGGCCCTGTGCTCGTTCTCTCTGGCGGCCCGGGTGGGCCGAGTTCCAAGCTGAAAACCAAGGGCCAGGCTGAGAGCCCTGGTTCCCCAGGGTTATCAGTCCAGGCCCTGTGCTGGGGCTGGGACACCTGGCAGGCTCGTCGGTGCCCTAACTGACAGAGAAACGCCCAAGACAGGGTCTTCAGGCTTTCCCCCTTCCACCCACCGAACTCCACCCAGCTCTTCACTGCATGGCTGGCTGTTGACTCATGGGGCCCCAGTGGGGGCCTGCCCTGCAGGGCGCCTCCACCCACAGGGTAGGAGCCAGGTGGGGCTGGAGAGAGCAGCCAGGCTCCTTCCCTCGCGCAGCCCCGGCTCCCGGCTCGCAGTGCGCTTGTCTGCATTTGTGTGTCTGTGATGTCTTTGTGTTCCTTTTACATGTGCTGCTGCTGCTCGCTCTCTCACTCCTCGCATCCCTGCCACCCTCTGCCATCCCAAATTTCCAGCTCCAGGCACCCGTCTTCCAGCCAGGAGCTGGAGAAGCCGCTCAGCGGGGCCAGACCTCTTCCTCCCCCTTCCCTTCCAAGGTGTCTGCCCTGCCCTGCCCTGCCCTGCCCTTCGTCCTCCCTTCTGTATAATCAGATGGCCTGGCGGCCTGGCAGGCAGAGGAGTGACCAAAGGATGGGGGAGGTGGGCTTGTCTTGGGCCCTTCTCCCCACCCACCCCCAGGCACATCAAAGCAGTTCTAGAGCTTGTCCCTTTGAGCCTCCCGAGAGAGGCCTCTGTTTACCCCCAGCCCCTGCCCTCCCAGAGAACTGCAGTCCTTGAGACCTGGTGCAGTGGCACGGAAGACCCATGTACAGCAGGAGCCCTGCCTGTGGGCCGGTGGGGACCTTGCCTCATGCACTGCGTGCTCGATGCGTGTGCCTCACCTCCGCACCGTCCTGCTCCCCCAGAGCAGGAGCTGCTTCCCAGCACACACCTCTGGGAGTGTGGGGAGGGACAGGCCCCACGTGCTAGGCTCCTTCTTGGAAAGGGACAGTCGAGCTGCCGGGGTGAGGTGCCGCAGAGCCGCATTGGCCTGCCAGGTGATGGGGAAGTGGCCTTCGGGCTGGGGTCCTGCCTGCCCACTGGTGGCACCTCCCCGGACTGCCCTCACCTGGGTCTGTGGCTGTGGAAGGAGCGAGAGGTCCCAGCACTAAACTCTCCCTCGCTCTGTTTTTTGAGGAACCTGAATGAACCTGAAAGCAAAGAACGAGTGGAGACGCTCAGGTGAGAGGGCTGGAGCCAGCACCGGCCCTGCCCAGGCCACCGGGCTTGCCACGCGCCTCCTGCTCCTCTCCTTCTGCCACCCCTGTCGCCACCCTCTTGGGGCCTCCCTTTTCCTCAGAGAATCCCCACACCCCAGCTCAGGTGTGGGCCCTTCTCAGGTCTGGTGTATTCTGGGAGGAGGAGCCCTGGGCACTTGTCTCGGTCTCGGCTGCTTCCTCTGTCCAGTCTGAACTGCTCAGGGCTGCTGAGCACGTGCTCCCCTTCCTTCCCTAACCCTCCCCCCTTCAAAGGACAGCACGGAACTGTACCCCTGCCCTGTCCGGGGGTTGGCTTCTCCTCACTGGCTCCTCCTCACCTTCTCTACAGAGAGATGGTGCGGGACTGCCCACGCCTCTTGCCCGCCCTCTCTCCCTGGACCAGGTCTAACGCTCCCTCTGCCAGTCGGGTTGCCTCCTGGGCACCCTCCTGCTCTCCTCTCTGGTCTCAGGGTCCGTGTGCCAGGGTGGCTGCCCCGTGGGTGGGGTGCCTTGGCCCCCACTGACGCCACCTCTGCCCTCTCTGCAGACCTCACGTGGTGGGCGGTGGAGGCAATGACAAAGAAAAGGAGGAGTTCCGGGAGGCCAAGCCGCGCTCGCTCCGCTTCACGTGGAGCATGAAGACCACAAGCTCCATGGAGCCCAACGAAATGATGCGGGAGATCCGCAAGGTGCTGGACGCGAACAGCTGCCAGAGCGAGCTGCACGAGAAGTACATGCTGCTGTGCATGCACGGCACGCCGGGCCACGAGAACTTCGTGCAGTGGGAGATGGAGGTGTGCAAACTGCCGCGGCTGTCTCTCAACGGGGTTCGGTTTAAGCGGATATCAGGCACCTCCATGGCCTTCAAAAACATTGCCTCCAAAATAGCCAACGAGCTGAAGCTTTAACAGGCTGCCAGGAGTGGGGAGGGTGACGGAGGCTGGCCCGCTGGACTTAGCTGCTGGGCCGCTGCTCCGACCCACCTGGGCGAGACTCAGAGACGGATTGGCGTGTCTCCCCTGCTGGCCCTCCTCCCTCCCCGCCCTGCTCAGTTCTTCTTCCATGTTTGTGGGGATGGGAGATGGTTCTTTCCCCTCAACGTTTACCCCTGCCCAGATATTCCCCTTCCCCCCTCTCTCCCACAGGAGGCAAAGGAAGGGAGGAGGGGCAGGGGGGGCAGGGCTCCCCCTCGGTACTGCGGTTGCACAGAGTATTTCGCCTAAACCAAGAAATTTTTTATTACCAAAAAGAAAAAAGAAAAAAAAAATCCCAGCGGCCACCTTTCCTCCCTGCCCCATTGGGACAGTCGAGACTGGATCTGTGGGGTTTCCCGGGAGGGTGGCTCAGGGCTGGAACACTCTCAGGCAAGAGTGGTGGAGTTCCCTGTCAGGCCCTCCGCCAGGCCCACTTTGGGCTTCTCCCCTCTCCCCCTCTCCCTCCCCTCCAAGCAAACCACCAGAGGTGGCCTTCCCCTGACCTCAGGCCCCTGGGCTGGAGCCCGGGGGGCTGGGGGCTGGGGCAGGGGGTGCTGCGCAGCCCTGCGGTGGCTGGGCTGGCAGCGAGGCACGGGGCTCTGGCCTCCCTCCACACTGTATCCTCTGCCCCCTTCCCCAGAGCTGGGCATTTCCTTCCACAAGCTGCTGTGGGGACTTTTGTTCCCCCCTCAAAAGTCTGTGCCATCTTCTCCCACCCCCTCCTGGTAGAAGGCGGGGCTGACCCTAGGGCTGGGAGAGGGGAGGGGACTGCAGGGCACATGGGCTCCTGGGCCCCCAGGGGGCCGCCTGGGCTGCTAGTCTCCCAGCGGGGACGCTGGGCATTCTTCATTATGGGAGAGCCTTTGTCTGAGAGCACAGCCCCCGCGCCGTTCCTCTTCCCTCCCCACTGCTCCCGTCATTGGCATTAATCTGGGCACCAGCTAGTTCCGTAGCAGTGACTTCCCTCACCACTCATCTCGGCCTTGCCTTTTCTTCCTGACGCTGTCGCCCCTCCTCTCAGGAGACACTGCCCAGAGCCTCCACGGCCACCTGGCAGGAGGCTGGACAGGGCAGCAGGGCGGGGAGCCTCTGCCCTCCACCGGGTGGGGGGGAAGAACAGGCCAAGCGACTTCCAGCTTGCTCACCTCCATGGCCAGTGTGGGAGTGGCTGGCTGTGGGCGCTTGGCTGGTGGCGGCCGCTGCATCCCTTAATTTATTTCTCTGCTGTTTCTGTTCTTGAGAAATTGGGGGAGGGGGTCCTGCCCCTACCCTCACCTGAGTTGTACATTTTTTTGTGATGGGTTTTATTTTTTATTATTTTATTTTTTTTCCTGATTTATGACTCCTCCACCCCCTTCTCATCACCCCCACCCCCAGGCCAGGCTCCATGGCGAGTCAAGCCCTTGGGTCCCAGGAAGGGGCCTTGCCAGCCTCAGCCCTCCTGCCCCTAGGCCCAGCTCTGGGCTCTGCGCCGACCAAGGGCTCCCCGTCCCCCCCCCTCCTGCCCTATGGAACAGCCCTGGTGCTCCGAGGGGCTGGGAGGGCATGGCTTGGCTCCCAAGGTGGGGGGGGGCCGGGGGGCTCCCAGGCAAGGTGGCCCCTCCCCACCTAGTCCCCCGCTCCTGCACTTAGTTTCTCCTCTGGATCAAACACGAAATAAAGAGAATGTTTGGAATCTGAGTTACCTCCTCTTTCTTCTCCCAACTGGGCAGGGACCCAGTCCCTGTGGGCAAGATGGAGCCCAGCCGCCTTCCTTGCAGGAGAATGGATTCCTGTTTGGGGCTGGCAGCTGAGTGGCTGCCCTCCCACCCTCGTGGTAGCCAAGAAGCAAGGCCCGGGGTCCTTACACCAGAAGGGAAAGAGGACTCAGTGAACTTGGACGGTCTCATTTATTTTTTAAAAACATTGAAAAATAAACCCATGTCTGCATATGTTCCTTTTTCTCTAAGCTTTGGGGCAGCGGGCATGGTGGGCGCCCTCAGCTCCTCAGCACTTCCTACGTGGCCAGGAGACAGGAGAGCTGCCCCTTAAGCCTCTGCTGCCTCCAGCCCCCAGGGCACCTCTCTGCCCACCTCCTCCCTCCAGCCCCCTCCCTACCTCACCCCAGGCTTATTGCTAAAAGAAGGGAGAGGAACCACCAACCGGCCAAAATGTCCTCTCTCCCACCCCCCAAGCTACAGTCACTACCCCCTCTACACGAAGGGCAGGGCCCAAAGGCCAAACCCCAGCAGGCCGGGAGGCAGCCCTTCCAGCCCCGTCCAGGAAGGGAAAGTGCCCTCAGGCCAGCTCCGAGGGCCCGAGGCCCAGCCCCTGGCTACAGTGGCGGAAGAGATGGGCTCCACCGCCAGAAACACGCATCAGAACTGTCGGCCTTCTGCCAAAGACCATCAGCAGCACTGGGTCTTTGAAGGACCTGGCAGAGCTCTAGTCCCTTCTGTCCTCAGTGAAGCCAGAGGTGCCCAAACACATCCAGCAAAGGTGTTCAGGAGCCTCTGGTTGATGGGGAGCCTCAGGGCTCAAAGTGAGGGTGCTGGAGGCTCCAGGGGGGCTCCGATCAGGGTGGGCGGGGGCTGAGGGCCGGGGCGGGCACTGTGGCGGGAGGCAGCCAGAGCAGGGCGGATGAGAGGCGGTGGGGGCTGGTTGGGGGCCAGCCGGGGCTGGAGGAAGCGGCCCTGCTGCAGTGGGGGTGGCTGGCGAAGCAGGGTAGGAGCCGTGGGCAAAGGTGGCCTCAGCAGTGGGGGCGGCTGGGACAGCGAAGTGGGAGGTGGAGGGGGCGGTGGCACAGGGGGCACCGATCGGGGCACAGATGTTGAGACGGATGTAATCTGGACCTGAGAGGAAAAAGAAGAGTGAGAAAACCAGGCCCCGCCACACCCTCGGCCCAGCCTAATGACTAGGCAGCTCCTCGCCTCTCTTCTCTGAAGGGTTTCTCTCACTCCTTCTCACCTCATCATCTTCCTCTAGGGCTGAGGCTGGCAAGGGAGCCCCTCTCCTAGCCTCCTCCATGGGGACCGGGGCTCCAGGAGCCCCGTCCTGCTCGGCCTCCCACTCCTGCAGCACCTCCTCCAGATTGAAGCGGCGCCGGTAGCTCACAAAGAAGGTCTTCACCTGGGTCAAAGTCTTGTTCCCAATCACCTCTGCAATAGCCCCAAAGTCTTTGCCATACCTACGGATGGCTGCAAGAGTCAAAAGGGCAGCAGACTGTGAATACCCCTCGGAACTAGTTACTTCCTGATCTTTCCCCTCTGCCCCAGCTCCTTGGAGGGTGGCGGAGAGACTCCCGGGGCCCTCTGTTCTCCTCATAGTCTAACCCACCTTGTACAGCCAGCAGCTGCTCGTCTGTGGTCCAGCGGGAGTTGAACTTGGTGTTGGCCTGGGGAACAGGGATATATATCCTTTACGCTCAAAGACATAAAAACGGAGGCCCAGCTCTCTAGGCAGGATGCCTCTTTCTGCTCTGCCGCCAGGGAGAACCCCTTCCTGCACCCCAACTCGAAGGGCCGCCTTACCTCAGGGGGGCGCAGTGGGTCAATGCCGCCCTCCAGGGCCTGGCGGAGGCTGCTGTTGGTCTGCTTCATGCTTTGCACCTGAGGAGGCCAGGCAATGAAGGGCTATCAGACTCTCCAGGCCAGCGACACTGTCAGTCAATACCAGCCCTCGCCGGGGCCCTGCGTCTGCAGACGGCAGTGCCACCTCCCAACAAAGCTCTTTGCCACCCACCATCTTGCTCATTCCGCCCTCACAACCACTCAGTAGGGAGACGCTGTGCTTCACTCCTTTTCACAGACCAGTTTTTTTGTTTGTTTGTTTTTTTAAAGGCCCAGAAAGAATGCCAAGTTACCCAGAAGCCCAGAAGGCAGGGCAGGGGTAGAGACAGGCTTGGCACCTGCCCCATCTCCCTCACACCTCGGCTGCCCCCCGTCATAATTCCCAGCTGCCAAAAGCTCCCTCTGCACAGCCTCCTCTTTACTTGGGCCCCCACCTGGCGCTTGAGGGAGATGAGCTGGGAGTCGAGGCCTCGAAGCGTGAGGTTGGCAAGGTCCGGGCTCCCTGACACGGCAGTGAGGCCCTCCGGGCTCAGGTACATGCCCTTGGGAGGGCGCCGCCGGGTTCTCAGGGGGTGGTGGCGATACTGAGACCCCTGGGCCTCCTTCTTCCCGGGGCCTGGGCGGGCATTCAGGGGCCTAGAGGGCAGAGGCTGCCAGAGAAAGGAGAGGGGGAGGGTGGGACAGAGCCCCAGGAGAGGGCGAGTGGGTGGGTCAGGCCAGCTCTGGGACCTCACCTCTCTCTTGGGGTCTCCAGCATCTGGCTCTCCCTCACTCACGGCTCCTCGTCCCTCTTCAAGCTCATCGCTGCTGACACAGGGGCCAGGGAAGGATGAGGCAGGGGCAGGGTCCCCCAGGAGCTCAGGTTGCCCCCGCCCCCTGGGCTTGCCCCTGGACCCCCACCTCTCTTCTTTGTCCTTCCGGCCCCCCAGCCGCCGAGCCTGTCTGTCCATCACGCTGGTCCGGCTGCGGGTCTTCTTCCAAGAGTAGTAGTACTTCACCAGGCTGGGGATCAGCTTGTCGGGCAGCTGAAGGGGCAACGCCAGAGGCTGGGGCCACCCAAGAGTCTGGGCCCCATCAGAAGGCTCATCAGAAAGGAGGGGCTGAGGAGTGATGGCGGGGGTGGAGGGCTTTACCATCTGCTGGATCCGCTGGAAGCATTTGCCATGGAAGCCAAAGGCCTGTTCAAACAGCACCTTGTCCTCTACGGTCCACTCGTCGGGGAACGGGGTGAAGTTGGCCAGGTCGGCCAGTGACTTCTCCACGTCGTGCTTATGCCACAGGAGCATGCCCAGTGCCTGGCCCGGGAGAGGAGGCAGCTGAGGCTCTGCCACCCCCATCACTGCCTGGTCCCGTCCCCCCACGCGTGTGTGGGGCCCAGGCTCACCTGCTCAATGTTGTAGCCGTGCTTCTCCTTGGCCATCGCAATGTACTTGTCAACTGCGGGGGCAGATGGGGCCGGGCCTTGGATGAGGGGTCGCAACGCCTCCCCCAGGCCTCCCCAAACGGGTACACCGGCAAGCCTGAGCCCCGGGCAGGAGCTGAACCCATATCTCAGCCTCCAGCCCACTTCCGAGGGAGACTGGCATGAACCCCAGCTCCCAGGGATGCGCACGAACCCAGGGTCCCACCCACTCACGCTTGGCATCCGACACACAGTGGTTGGGCGACCACACCAGCATCCCCTTCAGCTCCTTGTTGCTGTAGCGTGCAGGGCTCTCTGAAAGGCAGAGGAGGGAAAGCGACGCTCGGATCAGCCTGGTGGCGCTGGCCTGGACCCATGGCCAAAGGGCGGCAGAGGAGTGGGGCCTGTGAGGTGAGGCCCAGAAGGGAAGGAGGGGCAGAGACCCAGACAGGAAGGCAGAGCAGGAAAACTAACCATGCCACGGGCCACCCACCCCCGCCTGCCCGCCTGGTCTGTCCTTCCAGTGGGCGCCAGCCAAGGGCTCCCCCAGGTGGGGCTCAGGGCCAAGCCATGGGTCCTCCGCTCCCCTCCCAGCGCAGCCTGTCCTGCCACTCACCAGGCTTGCACTCCGGAATTACGGCCTGGTAATTGGTTCCAACGCGGATCATGCTGTCTGTAGAGCCAGGGGGAGGCCATCAGGGCTCCAGGGAGGGAGGGAGGATGGGAGGATGTGGCGGGGGAGGTGGCTGGCCTGGAGTTCTTCCTGAGCACCCAGGGCCCCCACCTTCCAGCAGGCTCACTTTTCCCTCATCTTTCCCCTCAGTTACCTTCAGCCACAGATGGAACTTGAAGAGGAAAAGCCCCTGCCTAGTCATAGCCCATGGGGGGTTGGGTGGGGGAGCAGAGGACAGGGGCCAGTTTCAGAGCCCAGACCAGGCAGAGCCCTTTGTTCTGGCTGGGGGGTGGGGGGAGGTTGGAGGGCTGCCCCTAGACCTGGACCACAGCCCTGCAGGGAATCCAAGGCTCCTCCCCACCACATGAGCTTCACAGCTTGGTGTGGAGGTGTCTTTCCAGATCTTGCCCCAGCCCGACCTCAGTCCCCTGCAAGGTGGCAAGGTATGAGGGGCCCAATCTGTGGACGGGAGGGATGCCCTCGTCCCACAGGGACTGAGGGCAGGGCGCGGGCGGGCAGGCCCTCCTCCTCGGCAGCTAGGGGCCCAGCCTCCAGATTCCCCATGCCGGCAGCTCCAGGCTTTGAGGAGAAGCAAGGCAGAGGCTCCAATCCAAGGGGGGCAGGAACCGTCAGTGTAATATGCCCGTGGCCCGCAACTCTCCCCCGCCCCGCCCCCTCCCACTTCGCGCCCCCCCCCCACCCGGGGTGCACCTTTAACCCTAGGCCGCGGGGCTCACCGTGCGAGTGTTCCTCTTCGCTGCTGTCATCCTCCGAGTGAGGCTGTCCGCCGTTGGGCGCCGTCTTGGCCCGGCTGCGGGACAGGATCCCGGAGCCCGCGCTCGGCTTCTCCATCACCGAGGGCATTACCCCGCCCAGCTGCCCCGGGGGGCGCGGGAGCCTTCGGAGAGCGACCGGGGGTTGCCGCGCTCGCCTCGAGTGCCGTGCCCGGCCCGGCCTGGAGAGGTCGCCACTGAGGCTACAAGAGGCAGGAGGTCAGCGTGGCTGGGGTCCGGCGGGGCGGGAGCCCAGCGGGCGGCCCAGCGCTTTCTGCGACCCCCACGGGCGAAGGCGTCGGAAAAGTTTGTGTAGAAGTGGGGTACGCAGGGGAATGAGCGCAAGGTCCGGTGCGGCTGCGGGGCGCGCTCGCTCTATACACTCCCGGGGATGGGGGTTCCCCAGAAGTCAGGGCACCCTGCCCTCGGGGCGCCCAAGAGCCCCACCGCCCTCCTGCCCACGCAGTTCAGCAAGCGGGCGCTGCAGCGCAACTGACGCCCCCCGCAGGCTCCGCGCCTCTCGGCTGCACCGGGATGCCCCAGTCCCAGGGCGGGTACCCCTGTCCCGACCAGACCCCTGCCTGCGACGGCAGCCGGCGGGGCTACGGAGGTGGCGGCGGGACCCCGGTTGTGGCGGCGGGACGGCGCGCACGGCACGCGGCGCTGGGGCAGAGTTGCCGGGAGTCGGGCGGAGCTCAGCCGCGGGCGCCGCCTCGCACGCTCCCCGGCGCGCTCGCTCTCCCTCTCCCCGGCGCGCTCGGGCTGCTGCTCGATCACCCGCCCGCTCTCCGCCGCCGCTCGCTCCTCGCGCACACAATGAAGCTGCTGGCAGGGAAGTAGTGCCGGCTGCGGCCTCAGCACCCCTCCCCCAGCCGATGCCTCCGCCAGCTGAACATCTGGCCCTGGGGTGGGCGGGAGGGCCCGGAGGGCGGGGCCTGGGGGCTGGGGCTAGACCTCCAGGGGGTGGGGTCAGGACCGGAGTGGTGAGCGCGTCCCTCTGCGGGCCCCACGGGCTCTCAGACTTGCCCCTTGGGGAGACCTCGCGTTCCCCAGCAGTAGCTGGGGGTCAGCCCCACCCACGCGCACACCAGTCCCACACACCCGTGGGCTCGGGTTACTGCCGTCTGCCCCGGGGGCCCTGAGGCCGCCTGCCCGCCCGCCCGGGTGGAGCCCAGCTTTTCCTTCCATTTCCCTTCCTGCCAAGGAACTCCCCTCCCCCCCTTCCGCAGGGGGGACCCCCCCTTCAGGCGCCCTTGGGGGCCAGAGCGGATGGGAGGCCGGACAGGCCAGGAATGAATTCCTCCAAGAGCTGCTCGGCCAAACCTAGCTTCTGGTGCATCTGCGAATCCCCAGGGGTCACCCCAGTTCCCTTTAACTGCTGCAGTGTGCACCCCAAAACAGTGGCATAAGGGGTTGGAGGACAGGGAGTGAGAGGTGCAGGGGAAGGTCTGGACTGCAAGGAGAGGGCGGAGCTGGGTCTCCTCCCCACTGGGTTCACTGTCACCCCAGCTGGGAGCAGCATCCCCCTCCCCCAGGACAAGCACGGGCAGAGTGACAGACCGGGAAGCGGGTAGAGCGGCACAGACGGAGATGGGGGAGGGGGTGGGCAGAGACTTTCAAAGCCAGACCCAGCCACCCTGCCAGGCACACAAAGAGCCGGCGCACACACCGGCGGCGGCTCTGAGCCTGCGAGCCGTGCCGGTGCCCGTCCCCGCCGCCCGGGGCACGTGCGGCAGAGCACACAGGCCTGAGTCCCCAGCCCGCCGCCCTTCCCACCCAGAGCCCCAGACTCCAAGACACACCTCCACCCGGGCACACCCCGCTGTGCCCAGACAGAGCCGATGCTGCGCTCGCACCCTCCACTCCCTTCACTTCCTCGGCCACTCTGTAATCAGATTCCTAAATTTAGAAGCAACCCAGGGCCCAGCCAGGGTCCCCGCCCCCACCCGCTGTCTGAGGCCAGCCGGCCGGGGTCCTGCGGTCGGTTCACGACCTGCCTGGGGCCTCCTAGTCCTGGGGGCTCCTGGGGGCGGCTGGGCAAAGTCAGCCACGACTCCACCCGGCTGCGGCACGGTCGGGCCACATGGGGCCACCCTGGGGCCACCCAGCCGCCGGCCACGTTGCCCGCCACACCTCGAGCCACAGCTACGGGGCCTTTTTCCTCTTAAATCATGGATTGGGCACCAAGCCCCAGGGTGGGGAGGTCTGGACAAAGAAGGAGAATGAATGGGCCAAGGGCAGGTCTGAGCTAAGGGTCTGCTACAAGACGAAAAGAGCCTCCCCAGCCTGACCCTTCCTGCGCGGCAGGGTTCCACCCCGCCCCCAGCACCTCCAGCCTTTAGGGAGGCTGTCATCTCTGTCCCCTCCTGCCTGGCAGGCAGCCATCGCTGCACACAGCCCTCTCCTATGATGGAGTCTTCCATCTTGCCCACACCAGAACCCCGTTAGGCAGGGCGTCAGTTGGGTTCCCCATCCTCCCACCCCTGCCTCCTTTCCCTACTCATTCCTAGGGCCCAGGGCCCAGCCCTCACCCCCAGGCATCGCATCATGCATGTCCTGGGCCCCCTCCCCCAGGGCTGCCCCAGGTACCCCTAGCCCCTGGCATCCTTCCTTCCCCAGCATCAGCCCCTCCCCCGCCACACACACACATGGAAGAACCTAATTCTGCTCTCCGTCTCCGGAGAGCCTAGAGCTCAGGCCAGTCAAAGATTCAGCTCTGGAGGTGGGGGCAGGGAGGGGAGGTTTATTCCTTGAAGTTGGAGGGGGCAGTTCCTAGGCCGTGCTGTGCTGAGGCTTTAGCCTAGGAGCTGGGACACAATACCCGAGGGGTATCCTAGGAGTTTGGGGGTGACCGTGGGGGCCACAGTATTCAGAGAGGAGGGGCATTCCTAGTGAGAAAACCTCTCCCCGAAGGCAATGGCGGCAGGGATAGAAGGGGGAGGGGCAAGGCCCCACCCTCCCACCTGCTGCAGCCACCCCCTCCCCAGCTGGCCCCCTCTTTTGTGCAATGCCACACAAAGGACAAGGGGCCCCGGCCGGCCTGGCCATCTGCTCCCAGCAGCCTGAAGGCTCTTAAAGAGACAGCACCCCCTCCCTGCCGCCCTGGGGCTTTGGTGCCGAATGGAGGGGGCTGCTCTGAGGGACCTGGTGGCAGCAGTACCCCAGATCCCACCCACTTTTCCCTGGCTCCCCCAGCCCCTGGGTCAGGAATCACACTCCCCCCCTGGCCAGGGGTGCAGAGGTGCAGAGGTGCCACGTGGCCAGGGACAGGGGGGTGCGGGAGGGGAAAGGAGAGGCAGCCAGGGGAATCAGCCCCTCCTCCCCTTCTGCTTTAGGCGGCAGAGGGGCCAGCAAAGCTGGGAAGCACGGCTCAGGAACGGGGGTCCCTCACCGCCCTGAGGCCACCCCTGAGCTGGGTGAGAGCTGCTGGCCTCCGGGAAGGCCCTCCCCGCCATTTTCACTGATGAGCTCCCCCTCACCTTCCTCGGGAAGGATGACAGTGCCTCCTTTCTGAGGGCTGTGGGCCAGGATGCAGGCCACCTCGCAGCCTTGCAGCAACCCCGTGATCCGGGGCACGTGTGTTTCCTGCATTTTCCAGGGGAGGAAACTGAGGCTTTGCACAGCCGCCGCACAGGCCTCCGCAAAGCCCTTAGCCGGGGCTGTAGACTGCCTCCCTCCCAGGCCAGATAAGGCTCCTTACCCGGAGCTCCCCAGGGAAGCCAGACCAAACCCCTGCTCAGGGTCTTTGTCGCACTGCTAGGGACACAAGTTTACATTATTTGTGTGATTGTTTATATCCTGTCGGCCTCCTCGCTGGGCTGTGGGCAGGGACTGTGCCCACCCTGCTCACTGCTGTGCTCTCAATGCCAGGCATGGAGGAGGCACTCAGGATCTGCTGAATGAATAAATGTCAGGAGCCCAACGTGCCTTCCTCTTCCCAGAGCTCCTCGGTCCTCTGCTTCTCGGGCACCTTGCCTCCTCCCTCCTCAAGGTGAGGCAGAGGGACAAAGGTTGAGCAGGGATGCTGGGAGAGAAAAGGAGGGTGACCTTGAGCCAGCCACCGGGCCTCCCCTCGCTGCTCCCTCCTCCCAAAGGCGGGGGCAGCGCCAGCCAATCCTGAACTCACATCCCTGCCAGACAGACTGGGACTGTCCCGAGCTCTGGCCGCTGCGGTGTGGTGCCTGGGACCCCCGCCAGGCCCTCAGTGGCCACAGCCAAGGGGCTAAGCTTGGGGAGGGAAGCAGGCAGGCAGGCAGGCTGGCGGCCCTGGGGTGGGGGAGGGAGGGTGGCAGGATCTAAAGAAACCCGGCTGAGGAGTTGGGGGGAGTTGGGGGGGAGATGCCTCTCTGGACTGAAAGCCTGGGGAGGGGTGAGGCAGGGACAGAGGAGATGGGTTCCATTGTGGAAAGAGCTTGGGGAGAAGCCTCTAGGGCCCCCACCCCCTCAGCCCTTCCCAGGCAGGAATGTGATTCCTCCCTCCCTCCCCCCACCCCCACCCAGAGCCCACTGGCAGGCTGTGTGGCCCAGGGCACTGCCCTCCTCTCCTCCGGCCCGTTAGTAAATCCCCTGGACTGGCTCACACTCCCCCTGAGGGTTGTGAAGAGGCTGACAGAAGGTGACAGAGGTGACAACCCAGTGCTTGGCACCGCTCAGCACTGCAGCCACGTGAGGAGGGGGCTGAAGGAGGTAAGGCAGGCAAATCTGTGAGTGGCGGTGGGGGAGGGCAGAGCAGAACCAGGAGAAGGTCAGCAAGGAGACCCCAGGCTTCCTGACACCCACACCGCAGAAACCTGACTCCATGAGCAAAGCAGGAACTGAGGAGGAAGGGTCAGTAAGACCTTAGCTGAAGCAGACTGGACAAGGTGACAGGACTCCCTGAACCCGTTGGCGTAGGGGCGCGGGGGAGGGGGGCAGGGCAGTTTCCAGCCCCCAGAGCCCCTGCTGTTTCTCCGGAAGCCAGGATGAGGGACCTCCCCACGCCCTCACCTGGGCAACAGCTGGCGCCCTCTGGTGGTGACAGTGGGGACCAAGGGGTCCCACCTCTGCCTGGCCACAAATACCCTCCCAGGCTCAGCCCGGCCCTCTGAGGAG